CATATCCAAATATTTACCAAGTATCAGAGTTTTATTTGAATATCCACTACCATGCTACCACATGCATGGTAGTGGTGGATATTATTTTCCTGTTTCCAGTTAAGAAAAGAATTCATAGGCATTCTAAATTTAGTGTGTGGAAGATATGGGATTTGGATCTTGCTCTCCTGATTCCTGTTCCAGGTCTCTGCCTCCTCAACCAGATCTGAATGGTTCTATTTCTTCTCAGATGAGTTAATGAAGACTGATCCATTGATTCTTCCTTTTACAAGTCGATGAGTTGATCTTTGAATTAAGAAAGCAGACCAAATGGTTTACAAAGAACTTTATATCATGAATCTTGTGTAGTGTATGGTTTTCTATGAAAAGTAATGCATTTTACTGCATATTTAGCAAATTTGAGCTATGGGAATATTATTCCCCATAGATGATGGCAATTTTCATGTGAATCTATCATGGAATAACCATTGTTGTTGTTGTTGTTATGTGCCGTCGAGTCGTCCCCGGCTCATAGCGACCCCTCCTTGGGTTTCCGAGGCAGTATCACTATGGAAGTAGGATTGCCCAACCTTCCTTAGATAAATTTTATGGGTATTTGTGATTCAATACTTTGACAGTAAGAGCAAGTAGTTGTTTCTGACTTCCTACTGGTAAACAAATGTTGCCAATTAATAGTAAATTTGAACATGTATCAGTTTATGCCTCAAACAGTTATGCTCCATGCACACATCATAGAGAAATTCTCAATTGTGTAATATGGAGAGTGGAGTAAAGATTTTACTATGAATGATCTTAATCAGAAATTGAGAAATAAAATTATCCTTCCTCAGTAATACTCAAAAACTCAAATAATACTAGGCAATATTTAAAGTTTGTGAAATAGATATTTCCCAGAGAAAGTTTAAACACAATATTGTAACAAAGGAAAATTTTTGCAGGACTCTATTGTTAGGTGCCATCGAGTCATCTCCGATTCATAGCGACCTTATGAACAGCAGAATGAAACACTGCCTGGTCCTGTGCCAGCCTCACAATCCCTGCTGTACCTAAGTTCATTGTTATAGCCACTGTGTCACTCCATCTTGTTGAGGGCCGTCCCCTTTTTCATTGACCCTCCACTTTACCAAGCATAATATCCCTCTCCAGAGAATGGTCCCTTCTGACATGACCAAAGTAGGTGAGGCCAAAGTCTGACCATTCTCGCCTCCAAGGAACATTCCAGCTGCACTTCTCCTAGGACAGATTTGCAGGACTAAATGTATATTATTGTTGTTGTTGTTGTTATGTGCCGTCGAGTCGGCCCCGACTCATAGCGACCCCTCCTTGGGTTTCCGAGGCAGTATCACTACGGAAGTAGGATTGCCCAACCTTCCTTCCGAGGAGTGGCTGGTGGGTTTGAACCGCCAGCCGTCTGGTTAGCAGGCAAGTGTCTTAGCCACTATGCTATATAACTTAGGTACTTTTTCAAGAAAACTGCTTATGCATTAATAAGTGAATACAAATATTACAAAAATATTGAGAGGAAAATATGCCCATGAAATTTATAAATTTATGACAGAGATTGTCTTTTGGGGAACGGGTGTGTTGAGGAATAAAATCATACACAGACAGCAAGAACACTCAAGTTTTATAAGTAATACTTTATATCTTTAATATGAGTTATTAGAGTTGATACCTTTGAATTATGGTGTTGTTAAAGAATATTGAAAATCCCATGAGGTGGAAGAAGAATGAACGAGTCTGTCCTCAAAGAAGTGCAGTCAGAATGCTCCTTGGAAAAGAAAAAGGCCAGACTTTGTCTCACCTACTTTGGTCATATGGTCAGAAGGGACCATTCCCTGGAGAATTATATCAAGTTTTGTAAACTAGAGAGTCAGTGAAAAAGGGGAAAACCTTCAACAAGATGGATTGATACAATGGATGCAATGATGGGCTAGGTATAGCTCAGGTACAGCAAGAATTGTGAAGATGGTGCACGACCATGCAGTGTTTCATTCTGTTGCACGTAGGGTCACTATGAGTCAGAGTTGACACAACGGCACCTAACAACAACAGCAATATGAATTATGAAGCAAATATTAGTAAATGTTCATTTAATTAATGCCAGGACTGGCTATTAAAAATAATATTAGGCCACATTGATGGAGCACTCCCTAAGTGTCTAGCAATAATCTAAAGCAATGCTGGTCAACCCCGGCTGGACTTCAGGATGATCAAGGGACTCACATGTATAGTGTGCTTTAATGGGGTCCAGGTTGTGGCCAGCTCATTACTATATTTTGAAAGATCCATAGATATTTACAACGATGAGTTAGCATCGAGACCACAGATGTAAGAATGTTACATGTATTATTTAATCTGATTTCTTTCTATAACTCTAAATATTAAGTGGCATAAATACATATCTCAAACCAAAACCAACTTCACTGCCATTGAGTTGATTCCAAATCATATCGACCCCCACTGGGTTTCTGAGGCTGTACATCACTATGGAAGTGTATTGCCCTATCTTCCTTCCACCAAACAGCTGGTGGGTTTGAACCCCACTGACTTTTTGGTTAACAGCCCAATGCTTTATCCACTATGCCACCAAATTTCACATATATATATATATATATATATATATATATATATATATATATATATACCTCAACAAATGTGCATGTGGCACAGTGAATTACTTGGTATGGCTTTTCTAGCCATAGTCTTTGTAACTCCCACCATATAACTGGGTGGGTCCATGCAAATAAGTTTTGTAGAACTCTGATGCTGGGATTGTTAGTTTTGTCACTCTGCTAGGCTTAAAATGAGCCCTCCTAGAAGCAGAGGAGGGAAGATCTCACTGCCACCAAGAAAGAAGAGCTAGAGATTAAATGGAGCATGCCTTTGAACCCAAGATCCCTGTGCTGGACTTCCTTGGCAGAGAGATGCCCACCTGAGAGATACCCAGCTGAGAGACTACAGCAGTGGCACCAAGAGGCACAGGGCAGGGCAGTGGGCTTTGCGGCCTATGGAACAAGAAATCTGAGTGACCTTGGGCAGAAAGCTTGCTGGTGGAGTGGGGTGCTCTTGGGTGTACCTGTCAGTAGAGCTAAAAGTGCTTTGTAATGCTGGAGCAGGGCAGAGACAAGACCGAGAGGCCAAGGGCCAGACAGGCATGCCTGAGGGCACAGCACAAGAAAGACTGTCCTGATCAAATAATCGTATCCTGACCATGTTCCTGAGCCTGAATTGTAGCCTGTTACCTCCCTAATAAATCCTATAATTATGAGTATTGTCTGTGGGTCCTGCGTGGTCATTGCAAAGAATTATCAAACCCAGTAGAGAAGTAGTGTCATGGGAGGAACGGTTGGTGTCAGAGTTGGTAAAAAAGGTTTAGAGTGTGGTGACATGGTTGGCCTCATAGGAATAAGCCTTGGGCTACTGATGGTCTGACGGTGATTCTGTCTCCCACTTGTGAAGTATCAGGAGGTCAGAAGATGCTGATCACATGTCCTTTTTGCAATGAAAATTACTCTATTATTTCATATTTTCTTGTTTTTTCACTTTTATCTTTTCCCAAGTTAAATGAAATTGGACTGACCAAGGGAAATTGAGAAGTGAATTGCCATCATCAGGGAGCTGAAATGAGATGAATTTCAATCTCTCTGATAGGAATGATAGCTTTGGAAAGCTCTTGCATAGACACAATGGTTGGGTTTTAAATCTGGCTTTGGAACTGCCCTAGTCCCAATTTCTTCAACTGTAAAGAAGAATATTGATTAAATGTAAGAAAACCTTATGGATCAGTTCTACTCTAACATATGAGGTCTCCATGACTTGGAATCAACTCAACGGCAACCATTTTGTGTGTGTGTGTGTTTAAGTTTTTTAAATATGCTGCTATCCTTTTTTTTAAAATATATTTTTTTTATAAATATTCCAAATCAAGGGGATTTACTGCACTGTAATTGTATGAAATAAAGTATATCTGAGTGCTTCTAACAAAGAGCCAGTTGCTAAGGGGTGGGTTCTAACCCATCGTGAACCATGTGTTTCAGAATAGAATTGTGCTTCATGGAGCTTTCAATGACTCACTTTTCATAAGGAGATCCCCAGAACTTTTGAGAGGCTTCTGCGTGGACTTCAACCTTTTGAACAGCAGTCAGGTAATCATCTGCCCATCCTGGGAATGTAAGCTTTTCTTGTTGTTTTGTTCTTGTTGTTAGGTTGAGTTTGCTCTCACTCACAGTGACTTCATGTACAACAGAATGAAACACTGCTGGTCCGGCACCATCTTCACAATCACTGCTATGTTTTAGTCTATTGTTGCAGCCACTGTGTCCATCCATCTTTTTGAGGGTCTTCCACTCGTTCACTGACCACATGTCTGTCAGTTTGTTGTGCTCTGGTGGCTTTCATGTTGCTCTAAGGCTGGAAGCTATGCCACTGGTGTTTCAAATACGAGCAAAGTCACCCATGGTGGACAGGTTTTAGTAGAGCTTCCAGACTAAGACAGACTGGGAAGGATGGAACCAAACACTTGGGAAAAAAAAAATTGTCCCCTGAAAACCATATGGATAGAAGCGAAGCACTGTCTATTACTGGAAAGTGATTCTTAGTGTCCTTTAATTGAAGTTATATGTTTTCTTAAAAGAAAGATACTTATATGTTTTCATAGAGGGGGCTGATATATTGTTCCTTCTATGGATTCTTTCAAGTGTCCTTGGAATTCTCATATTCTTTAGCCCACTGTCCCTACAGTGGATGTGTACAGGGACAGGTGAATAATGAGAAAGAATGAGGAAAACATTCTGAATAGTACAGTGGTTAGGTTTGCTACAACCAGGTAATATTGCTGAAGGTAATGGAGTATTAGGGTCAGAAGTGTGTACACTTGTGAATTTGTGTGCTTTACTTGTGAATTACTCAAATTCAAAATACACAAATGGTGCTGGCTGCCTGTTCAATTGTTTCATGTATCAATTCCCTTTTCTTTATCCAAAAGGTCTCTCAGGCACATGCAGCCACAGAATCTAACAAGTACCTTAGAATTCCTTCTCCTGGGACTTTCTGAGGATCCAGAATTGCAGCCCCTCGTCTTTGGGCTGTTCCTGTCCATGTACCTGATCACTGTGGCTGGAAACCTGCTCATCATCCTGACCATCAGCACTGACCCCCACCTCCACACACCAATGTATTTCTTCCTCTCAAACCTGTCTTTGGCTGACATTGGTTTCATCTCCACCACAATCCCAAAGATGCTGGTGAACATACAGACACAGAGCAAATCCATCACTTATGTAGGCTGCCTGACACAAGTGTCTTCTTTTTATCTCTTTGGATGTCTGGACAGTCTGTTCCTCACTGTGATGGCCTATGACCGACTTGTGGCCATCTGCTACCCTCTGCACTACACAGTCATCATGAACTCCCGCCTCTGTGGCTTGCTAGTTTTGGTGTCTATTTTTTTTAGCCTTTTGGATGCCCAGTTGCAGATTTTATTGGTGTCACAGATTACCATCTGCACAGATGTGGAAATCCCTAGTTTCTTTTGTGACCCTCCTCAACTCCTTAATCTCGCTTGTTCTGACACTTCCACCGATATCATATTGGTATATTGTATTTGTATTCTCTTTGGTGGTATTCCAGTCTCAGTGATACTATTCTCCTATGTGCGAATTGTTTCCTCCATTCTCAGAGTCTCATCTTCAGGTGGGAAGTATAAAGCCTTTTCTACCTGTGGTTCTCATCTCTCAGTTGTTTGCTTATTTTATGGAACTGGGCTTGGAGTGTACCTCAGTTCAGCTCTCGCTTCTGCTACAAGGAAGGGTGTGGTGGCCTCAGTGCTGTACACTGTGGTCACTCCCATGATGAACCCCTTCATCTACAGCCTGAGGAACAGGGACATAAAGAGAGCCCTGTGGAGGTTCCTCAACAGAGCAGCCAAATGTCAGCATTGGTGCTGATTTTTCTGATATGTGAGTTGGAAAAGATGGCAAATCCTGACATTTCTAACCAGATCTTGCCTCTTGGGTTACATTATTTTTCAGCTCTGCTATGTTTCAATGTTGATTTTTCATATCTGAACATTACTTCCTTTGTCACATCTTTAAGAGAATATATAGAGACTTCTGTATCTTCTCATCTATGATCTAAGCTTCTTGGTAAATAGACACATGTCTATTTTTACGTACTTACAATCATCCTTTATTATAATTTGGATCTATTATCCAGACTGCTTTTGTACCTAACAGAAGTTTATATGCAGAATATCCTTCAGAATGCATGTCCCTGGTTCTGAACTTTGGATTCATAAAAATTTGTCTTGGTCTCACTACTGCAGATTCTGATTTCATTGGAAGAGTATGTGGCTTTAGTATAAGATTTGTAAAATACAAGTGGTTCTAATGTGAAGCCAATGTGAGAACTACTCATCTTTTTAGACTTTTCCTGCAATGGTGACTAGTTTTTCTTGGATCTTTTACTCCTCTTGAGAAGATGCTGAAGATCTCAAAGTCATGAGAGCTCACGATAGAAGAATATGAAATCATTTACCCTGCTAAAAAGCAAGTGATTTTCCCTAATATTCCTGATATTTCCTCTCGTATCTTCTCCTTCTACATCATGCTGGTGTTGGCTGCTGTTGCATTGGCTCCTTGACCCAGGACAACCGCATGCACAACAGAAGAAAGTGCTACCCAGCCTTGCACTCTACCCATGATTGATTCTCATCAGACCATTATGATCCATAGGGTTCTCTTTGGTTGATTTTTGGAAGTAGACCATTGGGTGTTTCTTATTAGTACCTCAGTCTAGAGTCTCTGCTGAAACCTGTACAATATTTTAAAAATATGCAAGACTCTTCTGACAGCTAAAGGCAGCATAGGAGCTACATTAGTTGGGAATCAAAGCTGGCCCTCTATAAGGGGAGAATTCTACCAGTGAACCACACTGCCTCTGCCATGCACACCATACAAATGATCAATGTACTTGTTGAAAAGCTATTGTCCCCCTTCTCCAAATTCACCCTTCTATACTTTATTTGTGATGCTAAGGCTAGAGAGAGGAGGATCTTTATACTATGGTTCTAATGCCCATCTTGTTTTATTGTTAAGGTCTTCCAACAATCATCAATAAATATTACCACACCCTATTAAGCCTGACATTTTCCTTATACCTGTTTCCTTAGGCCTTGGTGTGGTAGCTTATTTCTGCAATTACTATCTCTTTATTATCACATTTATCTTTTTTGCCTTTCAATCCTTGTATAACTATGTAATGAATTTCCTGTATGAAATACTCTTCATGGTGTTTTCACTTTACTTTATTGAATCCTGACTGATAAATTCTGCCTGGGGAATAACAGTATTTGTGAAGTGACTAAAATGGGAACATTACAAAGCATGAGATGTTAAGTTTTTGTATACCACTTAACCCCTGGCTGTTATTCTCATAAACAAAGTTTACCAAAAATTTTTACATGTTGCTGACTTGAACTTCTTTTTTCTGCACAACAGATTTAATGTTAAGTCTTCATCTTCATGTCTATTGATGTGGAGGTCTGGTTCCC